CTTACTTCTGACTATGGTGATAATGATATAATATTCATTCACAGGCTGTAAACTATTAAGTAGAGGGATGAGCTGTCTCACCAAAGCCTACAAAAAATTAATGCAGAACACCTGATATTTGACTCTACTTCCAGATGGAGGGGCAGCTTGACAAATTTCCTCATAATTTAAAACTTTTAAAAACTGTGGTGTCAATGCATTTGCATGATCTTTCTACAGCTTGAATTATTTGCAGCTACAACCATGTTTAATGTGGCACTTCAGTGGGTTTAAAATATTATTAGATTCAATCACTGATCACAGAGAATATTTGTGGCCTGTGAACAATGTGATTAGATATCTTAATTAAATGTTTCAAAAGAGGATGAATCTGCCTGGCAGAACTGGGGCATATTGAAGTTGCTTTTGAAACCCATAATTGTTTATTAATGGTCACTTCTAAAACTCTTAAATTTGCCAAAAGGGGATTATTCAGACTTTTCCTTCCATGGAGGCTTATATAATAATCATAATCATAATCACAATAATCACAGAAAGCATATATGGGTACACAGTGTATATTCTTTATGAAAAACTTGTATGCTAGCAATAAAATGCAAAAAAAAAATCTTAATTTTAGAATTACGGCATCAATATAGAAGGAAAACTATTTGGAAATAAGAAGAGGACCAGAGAGAGGAAGGAGCTTGCTAAGAGAGAGTGATAAAGGGATATGTAAGATCAAAGCATAATATACATTTATGAAAATGCTCTAATGAAATCCAATACATTGTACAATGCATGATAAAGCTAGGCAAAATACTGACTACTTTCTGAAGAGATTTACTCTGCAGAGTCACCTGAGAAAAAAATAAAAGGCTGTGTCTCTAAGGGTTAGCTAACTGAGCATAGAACCTTAGTGATTATTTAAGAATAAATCATATATAATTGTATATGTCGTGTATATACATAAATGTAAATACAGGTCTAAGGACACATGCATTTATGCATATACACATGTGTTTGAAAGATGTGTATCTTATTTTTAAATATACAAAATGTATCTTTGCAGGTAGTAATGCTTATGTATGACTACTATGTATCTCCTCAAGGACATGGTTGTTTTTAGAGGGATTATGGCATTTTAGAGGTAAATTTGGGTCCTGAGAGCTGAAGCCATGTCAGACCTTAGAATATGCTCCTTGAATGGAGAAGTAGTTAATTTGTACACTTTTAACACAGAAATCCATAGACTGATAGATACTGTGACTCATTCTCCACGATGAAGTGAAACTGACATTTCTCCAAAGGACTGCTTAGTGCAGGACCTACTGTTCCTTTAGTCAGCAATCTTGTGTGTTGCAAGCCCAGGCAGGGAACAAAATGTTCAGCAGACAACCAAATCAGATACTGGTCCTGTTTACCTGAAATCTGCATATTTTTTTTATGATTATACTTTTTATTTTATTAATTACACTTTATTCACTTTGTATCCCCCATAAAGCCCTTCCCACCTCCCCTCCCCATCTTACCCTCCCTCCCCCTTCTTCACGCATGCCCCTCCCCAAGTCCACTTACAGGGGAGGTCCTCCTCTCCTTCCTTCTGATCTTAGTCTATCAGATCACATCAGGAGTGGCCGCATTGTCATCTTCTGTGGCCAGGTAAGGCTCCTCCCCCCTCAGGGGGAGGTGATCAAAGAGCAGGCCAATCAGATTATGTCAGAGGCAGTCCCTCTTCCCATTACTATGGAACCCAATTGGACACTAAACTGCCATGGTCTACATCTGTGCAGAGGTTCTAGGTTATCTCCATGTCTGGTACTCGGTTGGAGTATGAGTCTCTGGGAAGACCCCTATGTTCAAATTTTCTGGTTCTGTTGCTCTCCTTGTGGGGTTCCTGTCCTCTCCAGATCTTACTATTTCCCACTTCTTACATAAGATTCCATGCACACTGCCCCACAGTTGGCCACAAGTCTCCGCTTCTGCTTTGATGGTCTGCAGGGCAGAGTCTTTCAGAGGCCCTCTGTGGCAGGTTCCTAGGTTGTTTCCTGTTTTCTTCTTCTTCTGATGTCCAGCCTCTTTGCCTTTCAGGATGGGGATTGAGCATTTTAGTCAGGGTCCTCTCTCTTGATTAGTTTCTTTAGGTATACAGATTTTAGTAGGTTTATCCTGTTATATGTCTATATGAGTGAGTATATACTGTGTTTGTCTTTCGGCTTCTGGGACAGCTCATTGAGGATGATCCCTTCCAAGTCCCACCATTTACCTGCAAATTTCATGATTTCCTTATTTTTCATTGCTGAGTAATACTCCATTGTGTAGATGTACCACAATTTCTGCATCCATTCTTCAGTTGAGGGGCATCTAGGCTGTTTCCAGCTTCTGGCTATTACAAATAAAGCTGCTACAAACATCGTGGAGCAAATGTTCTTATTGTGTACTTGAGCCCCTTTTGGATATATGTCTAGGAGTGGTATGGCTGGATCTTGAGGAAGCACTATTCTTAGTTGTCTGAGAAAGCACCAGATTGACTTCCCGAGTGGTTGTACAAGTTTACGTTCCCACCAGCAGTGGAGTAGGGTTCCCCTTTCTCCACAACCTCTCCAGCATGTGTTGTCACTTGAGTTTTTGATCTTGGCCATTCTGATGGGTGTAAGGTGAAATCTTAGGGTTGTTTTGATTTGCCATTCCCTAATGGCTAATAAGGTTGAACATTTCTTTAAGTGTTTCTCTGCCATTCGATATTCCTCTACAGAGAGTTCTCTGTTTAGCTCTGTTCCCCATTTTTTAATTGGATTACTTGGTTTGTTGCTTTTCAGCTTCTTTAGTTCTTTATATATACTGGATAGTAGCCCTCTATCAGATAAAGGGTTGGTGAAGATTCTTTCCCAATCTGTAGGCAGTCGTTTTGTTCTGAAGACAGTGTCCTTTGCTTTACAGAAGCTTTTCAGTTTCATGAGGTCCCATTTATTGATTGTTGCTCTCAGAGCCTGTGCTGTTGCTGTTCTGTTCAGGAAGTTGTCTCTTGTATCAATGAGTTCTATCTTAAACAGAAGACACAGATCAAGTAAAACACATGCAAATAAGCAGGCAAACAAAACTTGACATGACTGTTAAGAAAAAATAGGCTGTTGTAAACAAGAATGGCAGAGATAGGGAAGGTGTAATTAGTATTGGTGGTGGGAGTGACCTGAGGATTAATGAAGAGGGAAACAGTCTCTTGGGGAGGAAAAGGAACAGAATCACAGAAGCGATGGAGGATTAGTGCAATGCCTAGTGGATAAAACACATGTCAGGGGGAGAGGGACCTCAGTGAGGTAGAGGAGAAGAGGAGTGTGTCACTCAGAGGTGGATAAGAAGTTAAAACAGCAACAACAAAAGCAAACCACAAACAAATGTGGATTGCAATGGTTCACTGAAAAAAAAAAGTTTCTATCTTGTGGGGAATGGCAGCAAAGGGGTTGATTCACTCTTAAAAGCCCAATCTAGAGTTCAGGAACTCAACAGCAGAAACTGGCACACCTCTGTCCAAATGACTCAAGATCTGGTTAGAAGTAAAAATCCTTAGAGGTGGGGAAAGGATTAAAGGAGTGAGTGGAAATAAGGAAGCCAAGGCTGATTCACAGGCTTCTCTCTTAGCCCCTACTTTTTATGGTAATATTTGACTCAAGGATGTATGCATCCCCTAGGAAAGTTTCAATTCCTTTAAGGTAATGCAGTGGTTTGTACTATAAGCCTTCCCAGGCCACTCAAGGAATACACCAGGTCCTGATCTGTTTCTCTTTTATCTGCCAACCAAGAACGGACCACAGTTTGTGTCCTGTGCATTTGCAGTCAGGACAGCAATGAGCTTTCTTGGAGACCACATCTAGAAGACTTCACAGGACATCAATACATTGAAAAGTAAACAAAACAATGAGTACATGTTGAACAAAACATGCTGAATTGAAGAAAAATAGTAATTAGGAGGGAAATGCTTTACTCCAAAATTACCACAAATCTAGCCATCAGGACGAAGTGCCCTGTGTGCCTTAAAAGAAGCAGAAAGTGACGTGAAAGAAGACATCCAACTAAGGAAACAGTCTGGAGCCCAGGCTGCCACAAAGATGATGGGAGAATTTGATTTTTGGGATTAGGCTAATGACATCATTGCCTCATCCCAGACACTATGAGAGCAAACACACACACAAAAACAACACCTGCTTGTACTTATAAGCTTTGCATTTTAGAATATTGGTATATATTTAAAAATAGACGTGGACTGTTATGCAAAACTAAAGCCTCGGTCCTGTAAAGACACTTGTACAATAGCAGCGTTCCCCAACCTGTGGAGGGAGACTCCTTCAGGACTCCTTTTGGGGGTTGAAAGACACTTTCATGGGGGTCTCCTAAGATCATTGGAAAACACAGATATTTCTTTACATTACAACTCATAACAGTAGAAAAATTACAATTATGAAGTATCAACGAAAATAATTTTATGGTTGGGGTCACCACAACACGAGTAACATATTAAAGGGTTGCAGCATTAGGAAGGCTGAAAACTGTTTTTCTACAGCGCTGCTCTGAAGCGCTGGACTGTGGTTGCTGATGTCTGTCTCTTTGCTCCCTAGGCTCCCCCAGACTACTAACCCTCCAGAGTAGCTTCGAAATCCTGCCAGCCTATTTCCTGGTGGCCAGAGGAACACAGATACTCTCTGGTCCCTGGAGAATTCTGGAAGGTCTAGTTGCTCTTTAGACTTTGTTTCCTCACATTGCGAGAGGAGGGCGCAGAAGAACATCAAAGTCGCAATTGCTTGCTTCTAATACCGACGCTCTCTGACAACTGAAACCGCCTACCGAACTCGGCCTTGGCCGCTTTAGGGAGCAAAGGCCAGTACACCCAGAAGCTCCCTGGGGCACGGCCAGGGAACCTGGGACCAGTTGGGCGGGCCGGTTGGCTGTGAGGCGTGCCCAGAGCCTTACCCCGCCCCAAGGGCGTGTCCTTTGCTATCGCCCCGCCCCCTCCCGCTGCCTTCCCTCAAGCAGTCTGAGCACCAGCGCTGGGACAAGCTGAGGCTTCTGTAGCTGGCTGGAGGCTGCGGCTGCGGACGGGGGGTCAGCGCAGGAGACTGAGGCCGGGAAGCGCTGCCATGGCGGGTGTGCTGAGCAGGGACGCGCCGGACATCGAGGTACGGACCACTGACCCGGGGTGGGAGGGCCACGGAGGGGCGGGAGGTGTAGGGGCGAGCCCCGGACGTAGAGGGCGACCCGCGAAGTTTCCCCGGGGAACTGAGGGGACAAGCCGGACGCGGCGTCCTGGGACCAGCACCTGGTCACTTCGTAGGAGAGGTGGCCACCTCTCTCTGCCCTAAGTCACAGTGACCTGCAAGCTCAGAGTTCAGAGGCATGAACTCCAGGGGGCCGCAGTGCCCCTTCGCGCTCAGGCGACCCTCTAACTCCTGTTACGTCCCCTTCGTGGCTTTGGGAGACACCCACCGAGTGACCCTACTTACAGTAGCCGAGACTCGCTGTCTGCAAAAGTGGAGAGAGGAAATACAAGATCCAGGCCGCCGTTTCTAGCTGTGCTGGCCACGGTATTGTTTACAACTTGATTTCACATTTGGACGAGTAGAACGAAGTACAGAGGACACTGGAAAGTGCACTCTCCCCGGCAGGAGATACACGAACTGCCTTGTTCTCTCAACAGTTTTTGGTTCTCTTTTTGCACCGTGTTTCTGCAAAACAATGCAATCTTTCTGAGAATAAGTTCCTACCTGAAATAGCAAAACCCTTCCTTCGAGTTCTAAGTACTTTAGGATGTGTATGCTGAGAGAAAGATTGAATTATGCTGGTGATTTTAATCATGCTGAATCAGTCTGTGTCTCTCCGGTTTCCGTTCCGTTTTGTTTAGGGATTTTCTTCGAGGTAAAAACAAAACAAAACTCCTGTAGAATATTTGTGCTCTCCTTTCTCTTTCCTTTCCTTCTCCCTTCTCCCCTTCTCCTGGCCTCCTCCTACCCTCTCTGTATTTGTTCAGAAATAACACTTTTCCTCCTTTGTCTTTTGAATAGAAGTTTAAAACCACCTGTTTGCGGCAGGATAGCTGGTTTTGTCCAGTTTGCCTCTGTCACTGGCAGAGCTCTGAAAGGGAAGCTGGTAGTATTATAACAGACTTCATATTTGCCTTTGATAAATTCACTTTAGTGGTAAGACCTAAAGGATGCTGCATGTACTTCTCTATGTAGTTTACTTAGGACTTTTGTTCATAGTTTCTTTTTTGGATAATGAACAGTATGATTGATTTAATGAACTATCCGTGTGTGTACAGGGCACCGGAGACCATGTCTGACTGAGGTCATGGTCCCTGGTACTAACTTTGATTTAACTCCCCTGACACATTTTTAGTTTTGTTAAACTGAATCAGTTAGCCACCCCTTTGACAGTAACCCAGGCCGTGCAGACTTCAGGAATCAGAGAGGCACAGATCAGATGGCTTTTGTTTATTTTCAGAATGGTGTTTCAAGCTTAGCTGATTTCATATGTTTTTCATGCACTTGTCTTGGAAACAGTTTTTATTCGTATTCGTATTCTTATGGAGAGTGCGAAGCTGGTGAGACAGTAAGTGTCCAGCTTGATTGTACAAGCTTTGTTCAAGAACATTTAATCACTCCTAGTCTCCCCACCCCATTGAAGTGAGTGTAACCTTACTCTGTGTGGCCCGTCGGGGTGATATGCTTAGAACCTGGAATGGTGACCTTCACCCTTCTTCAGCTTTTGTGTTGTTCAAGTGCGCGCCACAACTCTAATCAGTAGCATCTTTTATCTCCCACAATACTTTATTTTCCTCTCACCATAATACCTATGATTCATGAGCTAAGAATACCATGGAAGAGCGTGAAATCAATCATTAAAGTACAACACTGTGAGGAAAAGCGCATTAAGCCAGGAGCACTATCTCACACAGGGATGTCTCCCTCCATCCCGTTCACCTCCTGAAACTCTCCTTGTGTTGCAGCATCAGGATAAATTATGAAGGATTTGTTTTCTGTCTGTTTCAGAAGGTTTCCTGAACACAGTCATTAAAAACCATCACGGGGAGGTTGATCTGACGGTGATCATTGTCTTTGTCTCAACTAGGAAGACAATTTCAGAATGGTGTGAAGTAAATGGGGATAAGAATACGTTGATAAAGCATCTGACATTTGAGGTATTTAGTCGTGGTAGCCACCCACTACATTAGAAATTTGATTTTTACCAGAAAGCTACCTGTAGAATTTGTTTTCACAATCAGACGTGAAACATTTTTTGTCAAGTTGCTGAAGTCTTCAAAGTTGCTTGGTTTCTTTCTAATTTTTAGCCTCAGTCTTAGCAGATGTGGGCAGTAAGGGTCGGAAACTTAGTAGAGAGTCAGTTCACTAAACTGTACCTGGAATATTACCTGGACCTAGAGAGGATGTGATAGTTGATGGTGAGACCTAGCTTGTATAACAAATCCTAGCCCTTTGTGGGAAGTGCAGAAATGGCACAGGATCCCAACTCACCTTTTTCAGTGACATGACTTGGCTCAGAATCTGGCTTGCGTTGCTAACGACTGGGAATGGGGCCTAGCTTTGCTCCTCTCAGGCTGGGTGAGCTTGCCCACAGTACCTAGCTCCCAGAGTTGAAAACAGTATGGAAAACAATAATAGTGTCATTAGCCCCTGCTATAGGTACATACTTTCTTGTCAGGAAAAAAAGGGTCAATGTTAACAAACAAAGATGAAACAATGGATGTTGTTACCAGAAAAATCTCTTCCAATGGGTAGTTAGTGATTCAAAGTATATTAATGGTAGCCACATAGTTTAAGATACCATTTTGCTACTTTTTTGATACAGTCTAAATTTTGAAAAGCATGACTTTTGAATCCAGGCTCTCCTGGAGGAGTTTCAAAGTAGGTGAGTATTGGCCACTGGTCACTTTCCCTGACCTCAGCATTAATTTTAGAGTACGTCTTAATCCAGACTGAATCACCAGCCAATGTGATGTCAATACCAGCACATCTAAAAGCAAGGGAGAACAATTGTTCGGGATTTCACATTTGTTCAATATCCTGCTCCCCACACCCCTTCAAAGATAATTGAGAGGAGACCATGTAGTTAAAGCTATGAGCCACCACAAACCAGTGGTTTTGATATTCACAGCCAAGCTAAGCTGCTTCCTATTCCTTTGCTCCCACCACAATCACAGCTGAAGTCCTTACCTTGAATTGCCACTGAGTAACTGTTCAGATTTATCCTGAATACAAGAAAATAATTTCAGTCTGCTGTCCATAAAATAGCTTGCATTTTGAGACAATCAGAAATGGCTTTTGAGGTGCTACTCCTGTGCCGCCTTCTGAGCCAAGAAGACAATGGAGCACTTCTTGTACTTATCAGTTAGGAAAATGAAATTTTTAAAATGGGGACTTTGGAAAGTGAAAACAAAAGGAAATGACTTGGAGAAAGTGAATGTGAAGGACCTGCTTCAGAAAAGGAAGACATGGAATCAAAATTGGCAGAGATAGCAAAATACATTTTAAGACATCCTTTCTTATAATTGCTTCTGCTCCTGCAGAGAGAAGAGCCAAAGGAGGAAGAATGAGATTTACAGAAGTTGAGAATTATCTATCTATTTAATTAATATATACATATATGCATACTTTTTTACTGAGTGTGTAATATTTCCTTCTTCTCTCCTTAATTTTATCCACAGGGATTGTGGAAATGCAATTGACAAAGGTTTTTAAAGCTTTTTAGTTAAAAGCAATGGATTTTAGCTGTGAAACATGATTTTTCTTCAAATTATAAACTTCTCTGTGCACTGCCCTTAGTTTTAAAGATTTTTTTTGGTAGGGAGTTTTCTTGAGTAGTACAAACACATATATCTGCTTATCTTCCTTAATTAGTTCCCTTGATATTAGTTTGTAGCATACTTCATGTTTCTGTAGCTCAGAATGTTCACATGTATTCCAATACATTCTAAAAAATATCTTGCCCAAGTATTTAGAAGATTAGTTTAGTAGTTTAATTAAAAACTATAATATTAATAATTAATAATAAATCTGTCAACAGGGAGATTTTTAGGTTGGGTCTATTTACTCTAATAATAGCAGACAGGGTTGGTTGATTGACTAACTCTAAAGTACACAAGATTTCAGTAGCTTCCTTTCATATATCTGGAGAAAAATCTTTATTTGGAAAGCTGAGTAATAATCATAAGAAATTCATGAGAATGTTAACATCTAGGGTCTAATGCTAAGGTAACATTATCTTTAAATAACCACACAGTAGCTGTTGGAACATATCCTACCAACTTTTTGTAAACAGGCAACAATAACAAGACTGAAAGGTAGACTTCCCCATAGAGTACAGATGTGTCATCACTCTGAGAGATTTTTTTTTTAAATTGTTTGTTTTTTATTTACATGCATTTTTTCCTTTTTTTCTTATTTTTTTTTACAATTTATTCATTATATATCCCAATTGATGACCCCTCTTTCAACTCCCCCGAGTCCCTCTTCCCTTTTTTCCCTTTCCCCTAGTCCACTGAAAGGGGACGTTCTCCTCCTCTGCCATCTACCCATAGCTTATCAAGTCTCATCAGGCTGCCTGGATCCTCTTCCTCTGTGCTTAGCCAGGGGCAAGTGATCAAAGAACAGGCAATCCAGTTCATGACAGAGGCAGCCCTTGCTTCCCTTACTCAGGAGCTCAGGGGAAGTCTGAGCTGCCAATTGGCTACATCTGAGCAGGGGGTCTAGGTCCTCTCCATGGTTTTTGAAAGCAGAAGTTCAAGTCCCCAAAATTAGAACACCTGCACAGAAAGACAAGCATACTGAAAAAAAAAAAAAAAAAAAAAAAAGACTGTACTAAAGTGCCATGGCAAAGTATGAAGAAACCTTTGGCATGGTCCAAGCTGTGGTGTTGCTAAAGAGGCCACTGAAAATTTGAAATGGCCAGTTTATTGTTTGTCCTATTAGTGATGTGAACACAGCAACAACTCAGTCACACAGGTCTTGCTCAGTTCTTAAAACTGTGTGGACAGGCTGGGGAGATGGCCCTGTGATTGCTGAACAAGAAGGAGGAACCACCCAGGCTCGATCTCCACAATGTAGTAAAAAAATCCATAATTAGGGAGACGGAGACAGATTGTCCAGACAGGGTAGCAATGAAA